CTCCTTCCTGACTTCAGATTCAAATCGTCGAATTGATCCGCTTACAGAATTTCCTTTAGAGCGTACCCTCCTAGCTACCGTAAGAAGAACAACGAAACTCTCTCTAATTCGCTTGCTGTCTCAGTTCGGCTATAAGCCTTTTGTTTCGAGTGTTGTGTACTAAAACGATTCAAAGCCCGGCCTTCGATCGAGACTAAGAACTAGATCCATCCCCCCTAAACATAGGAGCAGGAAAGAGAATGAATCGAATTGGCCGACCTGTAAGTAGTAGTTGGATTTCCGCTTCAACCTTCTCGTAGTTGGAGGTCTTATTTTCTCATAGTTGGATAGGACCACCTACGGCAACCACTACAGGATCAAGGGATCGGTCAAGTGGATTTCATTCTGACCTTGATCCACGAAATGCACTTTTTTTGGCAATAGCTATAGTTTGGATCAGCAAAGCGCTGCTTTTGGCATTTGTTCTCAAGTAAGAATCTGACTTTCAATTGAACCTTTCCATTGGTATCCTCACCACCAGATGCACCTAACTCTGTTTTCTCAAGTACTCAATCATTCCATTCCTAATAGGTGGAGCAAACCGCTCCGTGAGTGTGAACCCCGGGAACAGAGACCTTCGAGATAGTCCCGGTAGATCTTTGAGAAAGTCATGTTTCGGGAGAGCTGCTTTTTACCTTATCCTTATGTAAGAAGAGTCAGGCTATCTAAGTGAAAAAGAGGAGAGAGAGAGCTCTGGTTCCGATCCTGTTCATAGCGGCGGGAAAAGTTTGCTGCGCAATGCCGACCGTAGGCAAATGAAGTTGGGCTATGCGGGATGTTGTAGATAGAAGAACCTTCGTAGCCGCAGAAGAGAAAGAAGTCGATTCATGAGATTAATCCCATCCGACTGTCCTCGCTAACTCAGCAATGAAAAAGTCTTTTTTCTTAATGAACCTAGGGCCAAGGGTAACTGCTTCTTACCCTCACCGCTTGCACCTTTATCGAATGCTTGTGGAAAGGCTTCATTGACGAGGAATGAAAGCAAAAGGAGGGGCAGCCCCAGCACTCGAAGGAAAAGCAGAACACAAGGCAAATGGAGATCAAGAAGGACAAAGGAGATAAGAGGGATTGTCCCCAGCCTTGACTTCTTTATCTACGTACGCTATTTTACGATAGGGATGGGGAATAGAAAGGGTTCTGATCAATAGCATTTAGGAGGGATCAGAATGACCACTATGCATGAAAAGATGCACGAGCTCTGATAGGCGCATTGAGTAGCCAGAACATTATATTGAGAGAGCAAGAGTCCCGAACAAGCAAGCGAGAAAGAGGGGACCAGTTCCTACTCTGCTCTGAATTCAGACTAGTGCCCGCTGCCTCCTTTCTTAAGGCTAGAAGTGAAAGTCTTTCCGTTAAGCTCCTCTCGCTAAGACATGGGATCGGGGCTACCAGGAAGAGTAAGGGAAAACTCATCCTCGGGTCTGTGGAACAGTATGGCAGGACATTCGTTTGAGTCTAAGAACGTGACAGGATGTAGCTCCTCTCATGCCGCCGTGATGGACAAGTCCAGTGATTTTTTAATATCTAGTGGCTATCACTCCGGAACCTCGCCTAGTCGGTGAAGCTGCTTGAAGGAGTGGACGAGGGGACGGAGTTGGGGATCTACCAGACACTCTATTATCCACGCAAATTGAAGATCTTGATGCCAAGGCCAAGAATTGGAGATGGGGGCACGGAAGATAGGCAAAAAAGGAAAGTCATCATAGAAGCTACCAGCCGCTCTCCCAAGGGCAGAATAAGTTTGAGAGACGGAATCTATGAATAATCACAGGCGCGAGCCAATCAATCCAAGTCAAGGGGCAATGGAACTGGCACGCCATCTAATGGAATGGATTCTTTATCCTCAGATGAACCTGTCACCTTTCTTACATAAACCAAGGCAACTAAGAGCATTGGGTTTCCCGGTCGATGAGGGAAGTCGTCCTCAAGCCCTGTTTCCGCTTAGAGCATGGAGGGGTCAGGAAGAAGATGAGCTGTTAGGGACAGCTCCGAGGAAAGGAAGGAAGACGGATCCGTTTATTTAGCTGTCCAGACTTCCTCGCTCTGCCCTAAGCATTATTTTCTCTACAAAGAAAGCTTTCTCTTTATTTATAGAAATAGAAGAAGTCGCTACGAGTGGTATAGTAAGAGTACTGGTACTCGAAATTCTTCCTCGGCTCAGCGGACATCCGGCTATTAGCCTGGCCTCTGTTCTGCATCCATCTAAACCACTACACTATCGCAATCTGCTCGTGAAATGCTCCACTGCATCGTCGCTATCTCCGTCCACTTCGGGCGTAGGCTCGGCTTATGAAGTTTTTCTCAACCAATCCCTTTTTCCGTTACCTCCAACAACTGCGACTATTGGTATACTCGAGTTGACCATTTCTTCTCTTCCGGATCGATGTCGGTAAGCGGGCTAGGATCTGCTGCTTGGTTGACAGACACGACCACAAGCCCTCAAAGAAGTACAAAATCTTTTAATAGAAGCCCGACCACGTTTGTTGATAAATCTGCGGTAGTTCCAATGAAGGTAGGCCAGTGGGGAAGAGATCGGATTTATCGAGAATTTCCTCATTGACTGAAAGTCAGAGCTGATCGTAATGCTCACATCACATAATCGTATTAGAAGTATGTCCTTTGGGACCTGCTCGCTAGCTTATCTTCTCGCTCCAATTGGCCAGGAAGCTGAGGATACGCCGGGAAGCGCCTCTTTCTATATAAGTCGACTGGCTTGCCACTCGTAACTAACTAACTTAGTATCCGGTTCTGGTCTTCGTCGCAGAAGATGTTGGTGGAATGGCGGTCCTCAACTCGGGTCGATGCGGTAAATGGATCATTCCCCATGGGCTTAGTGGAAGCACGACTTGACCCACTTCATTTGATCGTTGAGACGAGTCAGTTGGATTTCGATAAGATATGAGTAAAGACTCTCCCCCGATCCAGTCTGCCTTTGTCAGATAGCCGGTCTACGACGTTGATTTCCGAAAGCAGAACATAGGAGGTATGGTGAAAGGAAAGGACTAGTAATAATATCGGCATGATTAGCTTTGCTCAAGGCTTTCTTTTTTGATTTGATGATTCCTGGTTCAGCTCGTTCAGATAGAGGCGAACGAATACACATAATTTGATAGCTAGAGCTCCCCTTCCCCAGTTATTGGTATCTCTT